TTACACTCCTGGGATGATCTCGTCTGTAGCAAGGGCTACCAAATCTCTGGAAAACCTTGCAGCCATTTCCTTTTACATGTTATTCATTGATTCTAGAGACAGAGAGAGAGAGAGAGAGGGAGAGGGAGACGGAGAGAAACATCGATGTGAGCCCTGACTGGGGCTCGAACCCAAAACCCAGGCATGTGCCCTGACCAGGAATTGAACCTCAGACCCTGCAGTGTACAGGACAACACTCTAACCAACTGAGCCACACCGGCCATGGCTGCAGATTTTTTAATTGGATTGTTCGTTGCTATTTAGTTGTATGAACACCTTGTATATTTTAGCTCTCCCTTATGAGACTGCCTTTACACATATTTTCTCACTTTTCATTTCTTTTTTTAATTTTTTTTAATTTTTATTTAAGTATAACCTGGGCATGTGCCCTTGACCAGGAATCCAACCCGGGACCCTTCAGTCCATAGGCTGACGCTCTATCCACTGAGCCACACTGGTTAGGGCTGCAGACATTTTTTAAAGTTTCTTTTCAGGTCTAACTTTTCTCCTATTTGAGTCCTGAATCCTGTTGTTAAATGAACACACACACACACAATTGTAGCAATCCATTTTATGGTATTGCTAATACTTTTAGTTGGTATTTTCTGTGTGAATACCCTTTACCAATAGTGAGTTTACTTCTGGTAAGCATTTTAGAGTTATTTGTTTAAAGGTGCAATTCAACTTTTTAAAATACTTGCCAAATAGTCTAGTTTTCTACAGAAAAAGAACCCTTGAATCAGTTTTCCAGTTTTAAATGTCTTATAAAAGAACTATAGAGTCTACTTTTCCCAGGTCTCCCTCTATTTTCCCAGGCTCCATCTGCTGCTAGGAAAGACCTGGGTTTTACCCTCAAACGCGTGGCCTGTCAGGGTGAACTGGGTCGCAAAGCCTATTCCTTGTCATTTCGGCGTATTTGTGTGTTTTTTTTCAGTGACCGTTTACATTCGATGTTACTTCATATTAGTTTCAGGTGTACAGTTTAGTGCGTAGACAATCATATACTTGACAAAATGCCCCCCCCCCCATATTTCCAGTGCCCACCTGGCAGCACACACAGTCTGACACTATCACTGGCTGTACTTCCTACTTTACATCCCGGGACTGTTTGGTAACTACGGTCTGTCATCTTGGCATTTACTGCACTTTTTCCTTTTCCTCGAGAAGCTTTCTCTTTCTCTCCACAAAGTAGAAGGCTCTTCTCATCTTCGTTTCACGCCTACTTTCATTTTCTCTTCCGATGGCTGACAAAGTCATGCCCCCCCCCCCCGCCTGTCCCCAGCACCAGATTCCACAGGTGGTTTTGCACCCGCCTCCCTTTCCCTCCCGTGCTTCTGCCTCACGGCTGGCATAGTTCACAAGAACATATGTGCCCGGCACCACGTATCGGGTCATGTCAGCAGACCCGCAAATGGCTGTGGTACGGGAACATGGAGAGGGGCATCCTGGGACATTTGGGACATTTGGGACAGCTACATCAACATCCCTGATGGAAGGAACACGCCGCCAACACCTAGCAGACACGGTGTCTATGTTTTCATACCCCAGATGGGAGCCCGAAGCCAGGGACCCTGTACCCAGTGCTTCTCCTCACTGTCACGGATGTGCGTGCGCAGCTCATAAGGAGAGAATGAACTCTGTGACTGGGCCGGAAAATGAAACGCACGTGGTACCACGCTGCCGTGGGACATGGACTCACGTGGGTCCTGTGCGGAAGTGAAAGTCAGCAGGAGGCTAGTTATGGGCAATCGTGTAACTTCTGACTTAGCATAACCGTTCCTGGCGCAGTGGTCTTCCCGGGCTGGCATGTGTCGCTCAGGTGTGGGGAGAGGAGCCTTAAAACACGACAAAGCATCCGTTTAGCTCCATTTAAAAGTGAGAGCACACGTCACACGATGGTTCGATGTTTTCATAACGAGACGGAGCTCTCTGCCGTGTTGTTCCCCAGATGCATCGTCTTCCTTCTGGTCCGTTTTGATAAGAGACTCTAGACGTTCTCGTGAGCAGCCCTTGCTCTTCCCCTTTCCATTAATTTCCTGTAAATGATGAGGTGGCTACATCTAGTGTTTTTAAATTTTAATGTATTAACATTTATATGCAAATAAAGAAGCACAACATTGCCAACCCACAGCACTTAATTATAGTCATCTCACTTGTTATTGACTTGAGCGAGAGGAAGGGGGAGAGAGAAACATTGGTTTGCTATTGCACTGATGTATGCATTCACTGTTGCTTCCTGTATGTGCCTCACCCCGGGATCACACTGCAAGCTGGGAGTACTGGGATGATGCTCTAACCAGCTGAGCGACCTGGCCAGGGCGAATTCTAGTCATTTCCTAGCTATTTCTTAAACTCAGATTTTTTTTTTCTTGCTCATATGATGTGATTTGAGATTCCCGTATAGTACGTGGGAAAATACACGTTAAATGCACAGCTGTGATGAAACGAGTCTGCCCACAGAGGCGTGTTTTCTTGTATTAATCTGTGTCACCTAGTATTGGACCATCGTGTTTGACAGGATTTTTGGTTCCTTAAGTTTCCGATTTTTTTTCTATAAAAGCACCTCTGAATATTATTGTAAAGCCTGCTCATTATTTATTTTCTTGGGAGGAGGGTGTTATGTGTATTAGAAATAGCATTTCAAACTTTTCTTTATGGAATTACCTTGCAATATTAAAATGATGTTATCACTAGCATTTAATCATAACATAAATGATGTACAAAAGGTAGGGTGTATACTTTTGTAATACCTTTCCTATAGGTGTGCGAGTTATACATAATCCATAGACAAAGAGCTCTATCAGCATGATTACCTCGTTACACAGTAATTTTTTATTTTTCATGTTTGGATCGAATTTTGTACCACGGAGGCTTTCTAAGCTATGCGTCAACAACAGACAATTGAGAAAAGGCAACAAGGTAATTGTTAAGCCTTGCCCGGTGAACTCTTAAATCAACAAAGGCCCGGCCTCTCAGGATCCCCAGCCACGTGGGTCCCCTCGGAGGGGCGAGCAGGGAGCGCATCCTAGCTGCCCGAGTTTCTCTCTTGTTTCCAATTCAAACGCGTGCAACACAAAGCGAATACAAATAAACCAGCAACATTGTGCCCACGAGGACTTCGCTGGATCTCTATGCGGGGGTGACAGTAACAATTAGACTAGTCACTCCAACGCCCTGCACCAATGACCGGCTGTCATTTCCGACGCTGCCCAGGCAGATGCGGAGAAGAGACTGTCCTTCAATCTCGGGCGGGACGCGGGCCCTAGGGAAGCTGAGCTCCCGCAGAGATGGCTCAGAGGGCCACTGGCCGGGTTTGAGGCCATCGAGATGGTGCCTGATCCTTCTACAACTGCATTCGTTTGGGGGAAGCCCGGGAGGAGGGGGCCTGGGCGGAGAAGGGGCCCCCTCAGACGGAAAGTTTAATCTTTGGGGAGGGGGCCTCTCTGAGTCCCTCCCAGTCCCCGGCAGGAGGGGCCCTGGTTTCTCCACTCCCGGCGCCTGGAGGCTGGGCGGCCTCCCACCCGGCAGCCCCTCAGGGACAGGCAGGACCTTCCTCCCTTAGCCACTAAGGCCACGACTCCCCTTCGCTCTCCATCCACGCGCGTGCCCTTGGAAACAAGGCCCTGGGGCCTCTGGTCCCCAAGGTGGGCGGAAGGAAATTCCCACCAAGGCTGCGTGGCCTCTCCCGGGCTCTGCAGGAGCTGGTGTGTGTGTGCGCGCGTGTGTGAGTGTGTGAGCGTGTGTGCGTGAGTGAGTGTGTGTGAGTGCGTGTGTGTGAGTGCGTGTGTGCCAGTGTGTGTGTGCGAGTGTGTTCTGTTCGATTGCTCCACTCCTGTGAATGAGGAGATGGCGCAGGAAGGTGCCCGAGCGCAGGAGCCGGGGGTCGGGTGGTCCAGCGGGAAGGTTGGCAGGTTGGGCAGCGGGCGGAGGAGGCCTGAGGCCGAGGAGGGTGGGGGGCTTTGTGCCCGGCGTCCCCTCCCCGAGACCCAGCCAGGCGAACTTTCTAGACACACACGTTTACGACCGCGGGCGGTGGGTTTCGCCCAAAGTCCAGAAACTCGCCCTCGGGGCTCTGAGTCCAAAAAGGACCGTCGGACAGGAGGCTGGGCCCTGCGAGGACGGGGCGGGCGGTGCCCTCGGA